ATACTCTCAAGGGCTAAGAGTGAGAATGGGTCTGTAGATTTCTTTACTTTTGTAGAAGAGAAAAGGGTAGGGCCTAAACCAGAGCTTCAATTCAGTTCAGTCCGGTTCTGTTTGGCTGATAAAATGACGTCAGAACAAACCGGATTTTTAAAAATGTGGGTGAACCAGATGAACCAGAATGGGAAAAATCACTGGTCAAAGCCATACTAGAAATAATATTTTCTCTTAGGAAACAAGGGTAGCATGCATGCCTGTTGCATAGCAACCAAATCTCTTCACTGACCATTGAAAACAGTGGTGCCCAGCTTCAAAGATGGCACCTGACGGTACCACTTTGAATGTATGTACCACTCTGTAGTCCTGGCAGTGATCCAGTGTCATGCATCAGGCTATGGAAAGCACTCATTATGCCTCTTCTGAGTCTTTCATTTCAGGGTCTTGACCTGTAATTTTTCCCGTGCCAGCTAGCATTCTGGATCACTCAAATTTTAAAAATTCATGTCTGTTCAGGTTTCTCTTTGTTGACCATGACTGAACCAGTTAGAAATCCTACTTTAGACCTGGAAAAGAGTTGGAATCCCCAAGAAACTGTGTAAGTATTTTCCATCACTGCCTGTGTTATTCTTTGGCCATTGCTCAGAGATAAATTAAGCAAACAGCCCTGGATTGGCTTCTAGATATACCTGCTTCCCTTTGCCATGAAACTACATACCACCTTGATTCTCAGTGATGGTAGTATGAAATAGGCGTAGTGATTCTATTTCATCCTTGTTGTTGTGTGCTGTCGAGTCAATTGGAACTCATAGTGACCTTGTGTAGAGTGTCTTGAGTCTGTAAAACTCTACAGGAGCAGTAAATCTCCATAGGAGCAGAAAGTCTCATCTTTCTCTCATGGAGTCACTGGTGGATTTGAACTGCTGACTCTGTGGTTAATATAATAGTCCAGTGTGTAACCTGCTGTGCCATCAGGGCTTCATCTCATCTTTGGGAATAGCAGTTAAGCTGTAGTGGCAGGAGCCCAGGAATCAGAAAGATTTGAGTTCAGATTCTGAGTGTCCCAAGTTGCATGTTCTCAGGCAAGTCACATCTCTACGCCTCAGTTTTCCATGTCAAAGGGAGGGTAATTATAGAACCTGCCTCATATAGTTATTGCGAGAATTTAAGGAGACATGAATGTGAAGTTTCTAGTGTGGTGTCTGGCACATGGGAAGCACCCCATAGATGGTAGATGGTATTCAGTATTATCTAGAGCAAAATGCAATTAGGAAGAATGAGTCAAGGCTCCAGGCCCCAGCCCTGGGGACCTGATGCGGACCTGATGCCTCCTGTATCCAGAGAGACTGTTAGGAAACTCAGTGTACCCAGAAAGAGGACCCTCTGGGCACAGCCAGATGTCATGGTTAGTGGCCCAGCGTGGCCTGGAAGAATTGGATATGCTTTTTGGGGTTAGGGGTTAGGTCAGTAGGGGAGAGGCTGGGGAAGAGGACCCAATCTAATGAGTTATGGGACAGAACCCATCTAGCTGACAAAATATGATCCTTGAGAAGATAAGGACCAAGAACAGTTGGACTATATATATAGTCTAGGCACTTTTTTGAGTATAGACCTAGCCCATAAGTCCTCTTTCTTTTGGAATCTAGGACCTTTCTCCCACCTCTCCTACAACCTCGTACCCCAGCAGCTGTGTTTCTTCCACTCAGATCTGCTCTAAGGCGATAGCTTATAGGATTGGGGTAGACATTGACACTGACCCACACTGGTTGTATCCTTGGTCCAAAGAGTTATAGTTGGAATGTAGAGATATTTGTAAGTCTTTGATGGCACTTGGACCAGGAAGACATGTGAGTTCAGGAACTATGGACCATTGCCTAGAGAAGCAGAGAGAACATTCTGAAGATGGAAGCAAAGTGACAGAGATAAAGACCCTGCAGGAAAGGGAAAAGTGACTGTTTCTTGGTGAGTTTCCAGATATTTTCAGGTTCCTGGCCCTTATGAGAACCAGCTGTGTCCCTGCCCCTGGACTCTAGGAGATAACCTCATGCCCTTATGTAACCTGCCAATTAAATGAGCTGAGCTCAATCAGGTGATTGAGGAACCAGCTTCAACCTCCTTCCACCCCAACACACTTCCTTTCAAGCTAGCACATTTCCTAATTGAGGCTGAAAACTTAGCAGATCTTTTAGTCTTTTTGGTACTAGGCATTATAAAGTCCAGTCCATTCTAACAGTCTGGATCTGTCCAGTGCAGTGATCAGCAGTCTGGATGAATCCAGGTAAAGCCTGCAAACTAGAAAGTGGAGGCAGGGAGGGCACATGCTCAGCTTCATCACTAGATCCTGGCCATTTACATTGCCTCTCCCTCTTTCTTGCTCACTGAGGTTTCTGGCCCTTGGGCATGGAACAAGAAAAAGAGAGAAGAAGGAGTCAAAAGCCAGTCCTACCTAAGTGGCTGGTTCATTCATAATCCAGAACTTGTACCCTGTGGGTGTGACAGATATCTAAAGCACACATGCTGTCTTTTCCTCTTTATGGTTACTCCTTCAGAATTTCCTTTACTGGCATCTGTGGCTGAGTGCCTTTGATTGGATAATGTTTGTTCTCCAGCTGACCACTTATGACTACTTACTTGGCTCCTGGGCTTCCTGCACAGTTGTTGTCTCCTCTCTCCACATATATTATAGAAGATAATTATAGAGGGACCCAAAGCCCCTTCAGGCAGCCCTCTGGTTACTAGGAAACTTGTGTCTTTTTCCCATTATACCCCCAGCTCCTGTCATCAGTGGGGGTGCCATTGCTTCCAATGCAGCCCCGTTTCCCACTGCTCTTCTGCCACCAGCCATAGACTTGCAGTGTAGACTCAGACAGTAGCACTGATGCTTGCCTATGCCAAGCTCTTGGGGGCAATTCCTTTAGGTCTCCCTCACTTGATTTAGGGGGAGCAAGGACACCATCCTTCTTGTGGTGGTAGTGGGAGAATATATTGTAGAGGCAGTTAACAATCTCTCTCCCCACAGTATCTTTTCTCCACTTCTTACACAAGCTGCAGGTGGGCGATCAATGACTGCTGTAAAATCTGTTGGAGGCCGTCCCTTTTGCATGCATGGTTTTACATGTTGCTCTAGAATGTGGGATACTTGACAGATAATTATGTTTTCTTTAGTTACATCCTTTGGTCTTCCTTGTGGTTTTGGAGTTTCCTTTCATGCCTAGAAGCATGCCCACATTACTGGTTTGCTTTACAGTTATTGTAGTTGTTTGGATTACAGTGAGGGGAATGGAATCATAGGGCACCTAGTTGGGAGCACTTGAGGGGAGAGGATTTGAAGGCATACATTAAGGCAGATAAGATGGCCTAGAATGGAAAGATGAATTGACCTTTGGTGAGTAAAACAAAGACGTTCTTGTATTGAGCTAAGGGATCAAGTGCATTTTGGTGAAATGGGAAGTTCAGAAGGAGAACCAGACCTGGGAAAGATATTTCAGGTTTGCTTGCATTGCCTGTAAGGTGTTTCCGGGACATCCAGTGGAGAAGTTTAGGACCCGCTGGATATAGGACATGGAGCTCCAGAGAGCCCTTTTAGCCCGTGTACCATCGTGTGACTCCTGAGGGCTTAGGTGGAAACCAAAGATAGAGCAAATGTGATTTCAGTGACTTTGGTGGTTTTCCCAGGTGTTGAATCTCCTCCTCATCTTACTTAAAGAAGCCCTGATATGGGAGACTCCAGGAAGGCATTCGGAAATAATAATGCACAGTATAGACACGTCCAATAGCACTGATGGCTTTTATTGAAGATTTGTGTCATTACAAAGACAATCTGGGAATATATTAAAAAACAAACACAGAAAACCCTCCCTTTTATATACACAAAACATGCTACATGGTACACTTTTTGAGAAATGCTGAGGTAATAGGCACACACCCAGACATGGACAGTACCAAATTGTCCAACATCTCACACACCTGACTCACATACCTACTGAGGAGGATCCTTGCATCCCCTTGCTCTCTGCTTGGCAACAGTCCCACTAATGCTGAGTCTGATACTTCATGGCTGACAGGACTCAGAAAGCCACCATATTGCAAGGTTCAATAACTAATGAGAAAGTGACCAGTTCTCATTGTTGGTGGCAAATGTTCTCCAGGGAAGTATAGTTTGGGGATGAAAAGTTGACTTTCAAGTCAGCCTGAGACCATGGGACCTTTGGCCTGTAGCTGTTTAGGGGTCCAAATAATCGAATGATGATTTTTCATAAATTGTCTATTTCCTTGGCAAGGTAGGTTATTATTTCTGTGAAAATTTCATTTAAAATGACATGTAGGCTAAAGCATGGATGAAAAATATAAAACTGTGAATACATTGTCTGTATGGCCAGTGGTTAGGTTTTGAGCTTGGCCATCTGTTCTGACCAGAAACCTGGACCTCAGATTGTTTCCGACCCACAGGCTAAGGAAACATACCTGGAAGAAATAACATTGCAACAGAAGAGGTAAGGAATAGGTAGGAGAAAAGAAGCGGGGAGCAGAAAAGTTGTTTGAAATACAGTGAGTGGCTAGGGACTGACTCACAGAAGTCACTTAATGAATAGCTGTTGAGGGACTGGCTAGCAGTGGATGGACAGAGGAAAAGTCCTGAGAATGAGAAAAAATAGATTTGGAAATTTGATTAGGTGCCCTATCTGGGTAATAGACATTCCTAAAAGAATCCAGGCATACAGATGCCAAGGATTATCATTTGAATTGAGCTATGCAATTCGAGATCTACTCTTAGACTGAAATAATGCACTGTGAATGAAATGTCTTTCTTCTAAAAGCAAAGCTGTTCATAACAATTCTGACATCGGAAAAATTGAACATATGAATATTGGGATATACATGGAGAGTCCATATATGTATCTAGATATATTATGTGGTATATATCCAAATGCATATATATTTAGGTATGCGTCTATTTATGTATATACACAAAAGTGCACAAGGTAGGTTCATACACACATATATTATGAAGGTATTTTGCAGGGGTTGTGCTTTTATTGTGGAGGTGGGGACTTCATTTAAAGAAAAACTTGTCTGCAGTCCTGTCCTGTCCTGGAAATATGAGGGGCTGTCTGGTGTGAAGAAAAGTAGTAGGGACAGAGAATACTGTATCATTTCAGTTCCATTATCTGCCTCAGTGACTTTGGAAAATAGAATCCAGCATCCCAGGCTTCCCAACCCCAAAATGAACTAGTGAAGACTTGTTCTTTGTGCTGGGGCCTGTGTGGCAGGGCTGGGCTCCTGGCACGGTCACAAGAGGTCAGGAGGGAGGAGCTGGCTTAGTGGAAGGTGTTGGGGTTGGGCCGGATCATCATCACCACTTTCTTGAGTGAGTAGGAGCCTCCTCGGAACTCAGCCCAGTAGACTCCGTCCTGGTATCGGCTCCGGTAGTGGCCTCCACGGTACCAGACCCCGTTGAGGTTGGAGTGGGCACAGGCATTGTACCACCAGCCTCCCTTCTGGTAGTGGGCACAATTTCCTGCAGGAGAGAAGGAATTGAGTAGTGAGTAGTTCTCTGGGAGGAAGCGATTTTATCTAGGACCATTGTTTGCTTGAGGACTACAGCAGAACCCTCTCCAGAAGGCATTTGGAGCAAGATTGTTAGAGAGGTGGGTTCTAAGAGTGACCCATTCAGGTCTGCCTTTGAATCTGGGCTTTCTAACTGACTAGCTATGTGATCATGCGCCAATGACTTAGCCTCTCCAAACCATTGTGTTCTCATCTAGTCCTGGTGTGTTGCTGTGGGCTAATGTGTCAGACTGCAAAGTCATTTGAACTGCAAGGGCAGTGGTTCAAGCTCACCCTGGAAACCCTATACAGGGTCGCTATGTGTCAGAATCAACTTGATGGCACTTAACAACAACACCTCCATGTCTTCTATGAGAACTAAACAAGGACATATACTTAAGTGTGTAGCCCAGTATATAGGAAGTGCCTGAGGAGGACTCCATACCACAGATTTTAATAGAAAATAGAAATGACCTGAGCTGGGTGGGGGAGGAGAAAGACAGATTTTCCTGAAAACTTTTGAGTTGGAACTGTGTTAGGAGTCTTTCTTTGTAGAATGACAAAGGAAGTATTTAAAATGAAATGCTCTTCTCTTTCATCCCCAACCTGTAGTCTATCCAAATAATCTTTTTTAATTTCACAAAAGAAGCATATTTCCATAGAACTCTTGGCATTCTCCTATCATGCTGACTTTTGCTGCCAAGGACAAGTAGTTCAGAACAGCAGTAAAGTGTGGGCAAGGTAGAAGCAGGCATGCAGAGGCATTGTGCTTCCCTGGAAGGAGAGGAGCCACTGTCGGCTTGGACTGCTCTTAGTTAAGGGCGGGGAGCCCCCAGTTTCCATACTAGGCCTAGGGAGGGACCTTCCTGCCGGGAGGGAGAGCTGCCTTCATCAAGTTTGTGAGTTGCAGGACCCATTAGGAGACTGACACATTGTCTTGTTGGGGAGGTGATGTGAGTGCATGACCTGGCACAACATGGACTTGGCCCGATGTGTTGTTTGTATACTTTGTTTCTTTTCCTTTTAATAAACGCCACCTTTGCCCACCTATGCAAATGGGATCTATATCCCCAGAGGCCAGTGTGTTGGTGGCAGTGAGCAGAGGAAGGGACTTCCAATGGTTGGAAGAGAGCAGGAACAACTTGGTTCAGCTTCCTACTGCCTGGGATCAGTCAAAGGGCTCTGGCTTCAGTTGACCTTTCCCCCCCTGCTTATACATGGTTTGGAGCCCACTAGTCCTACCTGTGTAGACATCATGGTCTCTGTCCAGGGTGGTGAACTGCTTGCCGTTGTGCCAAGTGAAGGAGTCACCAGCATTGCCATTGTAGCGCCCCAGCCGCAGCTTGTAATACTCGCTCTCAGGCTCCAGGCGGAAACTGGCATATTCGGCAAAAACCTTCCGGCCAGACCAGTCCTCCATGGTCACCAGCAGTTTGTAGTTGCCTTGGTTGGTCAGCCAGTAAATGTTCTCCAGGCCCAACCAGTATTCACCATCAATGTTCCCAAACCCTTGCTAGGGAAAACCCGGAGAGCATTAGTGTGGAATATGCAGTGTACACAACCAGCAGGGTCCAGCTATTGGCTGCTTAGCCCTAGGCAGTGGGGCCATGGTAGCAAGCAGAGCATATGGCTCATCAGACAGACCTGGGTTCAAAGCCGTACTGCCTTGCTTATTATGAGCTCTTTAACTTGATGAGTCACTTTAGCTTTCTGCTTTCATGCATTCATTCAAAAGACTTTAAAGAGTTGTGTGCTCTGTGCTAGTGAGCCCCCAGCCCAGTCTAAACCACTGTGCTCCACTACCTGTGACTTGGGGTACTATATACCTTCCCTGCAAGACTGCTGGGGGAACGAATACACGACGTAGTCATTTGAGATCCTAGCACACCATAGGCTGCAACAAACATTCCTTGGGAAAATCCCTTACCTTCTCTGAGCATCAGATTCTCTCTCCTGGGACCAGCACCTACCTAACAGGACTGTGGGTGAGGGCCATGTGTCCCCTGTAAAGCACCAGACAGGTGTGAGCTGTGTCAAATGTGTGCTGCATCTACTTGGGTCCACTTCTAGGTCTAAAATGCAGTGGTGTTAGTATTACTGTTTTTATGTATAGTTTTCAGGGTACCAGTACAGTGCTGACCATTCAAGTCATGAAAATGAATGAATTCATTAATAATAACTGTTCTATATTGAGTACTTAAAATGTATGGGCACTGTTAATGTGAACTTTACATAGGTTATTTCATTAATCTTCATGCCAACTCTAAGAACAAGTTTATTCTGAAATAGATAAACTGAGTCACAGATAGGCCCAGGGTTACAGAGTATGAACAGTGAGCCAAGAGCCCAGTCTAAGCTACTGGAAAGAAAGAGATTGTAGAAAGATTAAGGGGAAATGGTTAAGAATCGAGTCTTTAGGAACCTCTGACATAGGAGGTTGAGACAAAGTACAGGGCATGGTCAAAAGGTGAGTTGGAGGGCAACCAGGCTAGGAGGAGACCCAAGAAGGGGACCTGGCGGAGCCATGTACTGGAGGCATCATGACTAAAGGTAGTTTGTGGGTTGTGGTATCAGAAGCCTAGGTCCGTCCCGGTCACCACTTCGACACTTCCTACCATTCATGCCATCCTCTGTACCACCTTTTTATTTAGAGGAAGTTAAAGGTGGCTGGCTATGCTCCAACAGTTGTTGCCACTACAAGAGATAAACAGTTCATTTCCTGGGAATTTGCAAGTTCAGAGGATGAGCCCTGGAATTAGGACCTGAGGTATTGAAGTTGTGTTCTCTGCATGGGCCTCCTGGACAGTCTTCAACAACCTTCTGAGCTTCCATGGAAACCCCAGCCTAGAGTAAGGTGCTCCCTGGAGTGAGGGGTCACTCCCTACTTGACATTTTAAAACTTCTCGTCCTGTGGGGATTTTGTGGTCTGAGCTCCTAACTCATGTCATCCTTCAGTGGCTGCTAGCAGCAGGAAGGGACAGAGCTGGTCCTCACCATCCCTGGTGGCTTTGCAAAAATAACCCTGTCACCATTCTTCTCTCTTCAGTTATTTACCATTTGGGACTGCAGAGGCCCTGACCAGGTCAACATGCACCATCCCTCTAAGTGGCTCTTTTGCTGGGCCTCTCTTGGGGACAGTCAGTTGCTTTGTGTGTTGCATAGACAGGACCTGCCAGTTCTCACCTTGTATGTCTCCCAGTTCCTGAAGAAGTTGACGGAGCCATCCAGGCGCCTCTGAATGACAGTCCAGCCCCCAGGGTCGTGTCTCTGCTCACACCACACCTGCATGAGGCGGTTGGTGTTCTCTGGCTTCACCAGGTAAATGGAGCTGGTGTCGTGGCCATCCTCCAGGGCCTGCAGGCAATCTCGCCATGGACCTAGGGACACAGACAGGCACACATCAGACCTCCCTGTTGCCTGCTCCCTGGCTCCCAAGGCAATTCTCCTTCACCACTCACCCCCGGCTGCATCCCAAGCAGACACCACCTCTGGCAGGGTTTCCTCCTTCAAGTCCTACCCCCACTGACTACATTTTTATGTATTCAAATGTCAGCCACATCTGCAAAAAGATATAACCTTCACTTAGTAAAATGCAAACAAGCCAGGTTCTCCCTCAAATTTTGAAAGTCCTTGATTTGAGGAACCTTCAGAAAGTTTTCAAAACCGAGCCATTCAACTACATTAAAATGAATTAAACGGACTGACACAGCTTCTCTTCAAAATGTTCCCAAACTGAGAATGTTAAACTCAAAAGTGCTAAGAAAATCCCATTTTGTTATTTCTGTTAATCTGTACTAATTCAATAGCTGTTGTTGAGTTTATACCCCTTCCTCAACACTGTTTCTGGACAGTAGAAGCTTAGGGCAATGGGGGCTACTTTTATGTTGAGTGAGGGAGGAACCAACTTCACCTACCTCCTCCTAGCACCTTGAATTTGCTGTGGAATCTTATCACTTCCTTTTCTGTGTGTGTAGGGGGTAGATGGGTGGGGCATTCCCTACAAATAGCAGGTGTACTTAGCCTTTCCTGTTTAGATCAACCTTCTCTGGTGATTGGGCTCATCAGGCGTGATGGTTAAACTGGAAAGGTTTGGGGTTTTTTGTTTGTTTCTGTGGCTTTGCGGCTGTTTGGCCAATTCCTACTGTCATGGGTTAAGTGGTACCTCCCAAAATATGTGTCAGCTTGGCTGGACCATGGCTCTCAGTGGTTTGGCAGAGAAAGGTGAGCCGAGGAGGAGGGACCTGACTGACACCAAGAAAGAAGAGCCAGGAGTAGACCTTGCCCTTTGGACCCAGTGTCCCTGTGATGAGAACCTCCTAGACCTAGGGGAAGACTGATGCTAAGACATGATGATCACCAAGGGACACTAGGCTGATAGATGTTGGAAGAAGACCAGAACTTTCCCAGAGCCAACAGAGACAGAAAGCCTTCTCAAGAGCTGGCACCCTGAATTCAGACTCCTAAGCTGTGAGAGAATAAACTTCTGTTTGTGAAAGACAACCACTTAACAGTATTTCTGTTCTAGCAGCACTGGATAACAAGACACCCACCTAGAACCTGGAGGGAATGAGTTGTCTTGTTCATGTCTCTGTTCCTAGTGCTCAGTCTAGTTCTGAGAAGAAAAGTTGGTTTGGGTGCTTACCATTGACAACTCAGGAGGGCTCTTCCTTTCAACCTTCAGGAAGAGGCTTCTCACTTATATACCTGTTTACTCACTTACCACTTTGCCACCTTCAGGTCCCAGTGGATGAAACAGGACCCCATTCACCCACCCTGGATAGCAGATGTGGCACAAGCAGCTTGCTTTCCTTCTTTGCCTTGTGCCACTTATTCTCCACCCCCTTCAATATCCATCCTAGGGAAGGGAAAGCCAGTCCTCCAGAAGGAGCATTCATAAAGGAGTAAAAGGTTTTAGTTGTGTTCTGCCCAGAGCCCCAGGGACCAAGGCAGAGAATGGGAGTCTGTCCCCGACAGCTGGAGCAGAGCACACCAGTGGGTGTGGAAGGCCTCCCAGTTCTTTACCAAGTCAGCGCACAGGAAAGGCCGCTAGATACCGCCTACTGGAAGCAAGCCATCATGGGGCTCCTGGTGGAATACCAGGTGTAAAGGCTGTCTTTGAAGAAAGCATCATATAGGGAGAGGCTTTGGAGGCCATTGGGAGAGTAGCAGGTTGACCTCTTGGCTCCCAGCCTGAGCTACTTTTGTGAGTGCAGTCAATGGTTTCAGCTTCACCTTTGACATTTCCACAGAGGGGTCTTTTTAAAAGGCAGGTATTTTGAAATATTTTGGGGTTACCAATTCCCTTTGAAAAAATCACAGAAAGCTCTAGACTATCAGAAAAATGCACAGGTTCACAAAATTTTGCGTATTATTTCAGAAGGCAGATGGACCAGAAACGCCAGGTTAGGAACTTCAGCTCTGTGGAGAATCTACCTGAGTAGTCTTAGCTGCTTTGCCAAATCTGTTTCAATTCTCCGAAATCTGTATCTCAACTATACCAGGTCTCTTCGCCCATGCAGCCATTAGTGGGTTTGAACTTTCAACCTTTCAGTTAGCCGCTAAATGTTTAATCATTGTAGCACCGGGGATCCTTAAAGTGGTGATGGTCATAATATTAATAAAATGATGACAATAGCTAGCCTAAAGTGGGGGTCCAAGCCCTATCTGTGTTCTAACAAGCCTGAACCTCCTGACACACTGATGGGGTAGGAAATGTCCAGCCTTCTTGCTGTATTGTTGTTGTTGTTGTTAAGTGCTGTTGAGTCAGTTCTGACTTATAGCGACACTGTATAGGATTTTCAAGAAGTGGCTGGTGAGTTTGAACCCCACTGACCTTGGTGTTCAAACCAACTTTATGGCTGAGTGCTTATTCTAAAGCACCATACCAGGACTCCATTGTTGTTGCTGTCAAGTGCTGTTGAGTTGGTTCTGACCCATAGCAACCCTGTATAGAGTTTGTAAGAAGCGGCTGGTGAACTTAAGCCGCCGACCTTGTGATTCAAGCTGACTTTGCAGTTCAGCGCATTAACCCACAGTGCCACATCCGGACTTCATTAGGGGTGAATTAATGAAATGTTTGACCAAATATAGCAAGCTGATTTTTAAGTTGATAATTTTGTATGGCCTGTGAATGATGTTATGAATTTTGGCAGGAAAAACGTTTCTCCAGCCCTGCTGTAGGTAGTATTACTCCCATTTTATAGACGAAACTGTAGCACAGAGACTCTAGGTGATGCCCTCTCTAAGGATCCAATCCAGTAAACAAACCCAGGTGACCTAAAGTTCTCTTTCCCGAACAGAGTGGACTCAAGGGTAGGGGGCCCAGGTTGGCATAGTTTTCTGTTCCTACGACTATTAACTATTTTTAATCTTTGCAAGTCAGGCAGGTTTGGAAAAAAAAAAATCTGGAGTTCTTTGTCATGCTTTTTATACTATCTTTCTAGTATTTTTGTTCCATTATAGTGTAAATAGTGTAAAAGCTTTTCTTTTTTATTTAAAGGCAAATCTGACAGTTCTTTCCATTAAGGTTTTTGAGCATGACATGTTTTCCAAAATCATGAAGCAGATGTACAATAAATAGTATAGAAGTGTTTCATATTTTGCGTTATTACAAATGTATCTCCATTATGTCCCCTGCACACACACTCCCCCCCCCCACCCCCATGATACTCAGGACCCTTTGGTCTTCACCAGGAGCCACATTTCCAAACATAGTTTTCCCTCTGTAACCTTTAGAGTGCTACCAAACCTCCAGCATTCAGACACTTTTCTTCCTTATGGGAAAGACATCAGTGGTGAAGGTCAGAAACTTAAATGATGGATGAAAATCTGTCCAAAAAACAGTTGGCATTGAAAACTTGGGAGCAGTGAAATTACCATGTGATATCATTAATATGATGGATTCAAAACACCCAACTTTGATGAGAAGTCTACAGCTGTTACATATACATAATGCCATTTATATGTATGTATGGCTGGACGAGGTGTCTGATTTTAATTAAAGAATCTATGGTAGAGGAAAATGTGGGGCTAAGGAAAGAGACCAAATTTGGGGTCAGGAACTCTTGCTTCATCTCTTGGTGGCATCACCTCATCACAGTATGACTTTGGGCAGGCTACTCCTTGAGCGCCAAGTTTGTCTGCTGTAAAACAGGGGAAGCCCCGCCTGGTATGATGGCCTCACTCACAAGAGAACACCCAGCATGGAGGCCTGCCAGAGCAGGTGCTCACTGAACATTCTTTTTTCTTCTTCTGATAGTGAAAGCTGACACTTTTAAAGTTGCACACACACACCAAGTTATTGTTTGGTTTTGAATTTCCAAAAGTTAAATGTAAGATAATTTACTCATGGATGTTTTCCACAAAGGCATAGTTTAAAAGTCAGAACTCCAGTAGAGAAGGCCATAAGATACATTAGAATAAAGAATGGAAATTTTTTTTTTTGTCAATGAAACTGAATTTTCAATGTGCAATGGGCAAAGCTCTCACTTTGGCACAGTGCAAAGTGCCCAGGCAGTATTTCCCTTGGCTCCTCTTCTGAAAGGGCAGCTCTACCCAGCACACCAGGCCAACACTAACTCACAGCACCTAGGCTCAGGGTGAGATAGTTGCTCCCACCTCATGTCTCTAAAGACTCTATTTACACTCTTGGCAGAGCTGCGGCAGGAATATTCCCCATGAAGGGAAGCACAGCCTCCATGGCTGTGTGGGCTCCCTGAAACCACATAGAGTATAGAGAGCACAGAGGATTTGGAGTCAGGAGGCCTGAGGGAGAAGAGAGATATGTCAGTGGGAACACACAGGCTCCAGTAGAGAATTATGGTAAGGTTTGGGTGCCTAAACCCCCTCCCCACTTGTTTTCTTCTCTCTGAAGTTCTTAACCTAGGGATCAAGTAAGCACACAAAGAACACACCAACTCGAGAAACCAGGAATCACTTCCCTCAGTGAAGTTCCTTTCTGGTTAAGCTGAATTGGAGCCTCCAACTAGGCCAGGTCTAAGTGTAACTTCCCATTTTCAGTTTCCGCTCTTGAGTGTCTAGGAAGACCAGATCTATAGACTCGATGTTAGCCAAACTTACGTACCCAGGCTCCAGTAGAGAAAGGCTCATGAGCCGCATCGGCTTTTGATGCAGTGATCCCTCCCACTAGGGAACTGTCACCTTTTGAATATCTGACCAAACAGACTGACAGCTCCCCTGGAAACTAAGGGAGAAGTCAGTAGACAGTGCCTGAGGCATGGAGTGTGAAGCCAAGTCTTTGCCATGAGCTAGATAGAGTAGACCACATGACCAGCCAACAGTCTAGCAGATCTCTTCATCCCCTAAGGTCAGCCTCAAGTCTTGGGACTTGATCACCCTAGATCACATAGCAAGGCCT